GATTTTCATTGATTTTCAGCAAAAATGAGGAATTCTCTATGAAAACCTAAGAAAATTTGAGAATCCCGAGATTCATAATTTTTTCATACATTTTTCATGATTTTTTCATATTTTTTTCATGAAATTTTCATAATTTTTTCCATAAATTTTTCATAAATTTTTCATAATTTTTTCATAAAATTTTCATATTTTTTTCATAAATTTTTTGAGGCCGTTTTTTTTTCATAAATCATTTTCATAATTTTTTCATAAGTTTTTTGAAAATAAATAAATTCAATGATTCGCTGTCCTCCAGGGTTTGGAAACTCTCAAATTTAGGGGCTATATTGGGGGGGTTATTTTGGGGTTCTGTAGGAGTCATATGGGGGGTTCTAACCCATGTCCAGACATGAACCCAAAAGGATTAGAAGTTATGGTGTCGTATGGCGTAGTTCTGTAGAGCCTCCAAGTACAACCTAAAAGACTTGAAGCGTGACGCGCTGCCTGGCGCAAGGGTTCTTCAGCTCCCCATCCTACAGCCCCGCACCAGTCAGCAGCAGCAATGTTGAACTCCTTGCTTGACAAAACCTTGGCATTGCAAATTCAGTGTTTCCAGTATATGTGCATTGACTATAAAGGGTAGTGGTCTCCAATTGCTTCAGGGTCAGCTTCAGTGCCTTTGGTCTACGCAAACTTCTTGTTGGCATTGGCCGGCCGAACGAAAGGGAAGTTGCAAGCTCCGAAAAGTATGAGAGATCCCTATCTCAACAGTTCGATTGAGGGTAGGTTGTCTAGTCAAGGTGCGCCAAGGTCCACTCCAGAGATTCGGACCGTTGAAAGTTGCACAGTCTCTTTACGCGCCAGGACCACGAGGCGCCCATGCTTGGCAAAGCCCAGTGGGCAGCGTTGGAGCAGGCTTTGTCGCCGGGTCTGGGCCTCATAGCGAAGAATCGCGAAGACAGCAACAATGCTTAGGCCAAGCTTCTGCCCACATAACCTGGGATGCCAGACAACCTCTTGTTCTCAAGTCAGAAACGAAGCAGTACTGCTGCTGTAATGCAGCGATTCATGCGACCTATACAATCCTTACGCAGTGGCATCGGCAATGCATGTTCGCACTCTCCTTGCGACTGCAGGGGGAGAGCTGGCAGCTTGCAAGGCGTCCGGAGCTCAACTGATGCGGGGTAGAGTTGCAGTTGCAACCAATGGCAGTCTGTGGAGTGTCTAGCGACATGTTGGTGGTTGCCGTCATCATCTCCTCCAGCCAACAAAGCGGCAGTACTGAGATTAATCCACTAAATAGGGATCTGTCGAAGACATGTCAGTTTTGATTGAGGATCCTTGTTATGATCCCGGAGCCCATCGGGTATGTTAGCCGAGTGCCCTGGATTGCAGCTTAACCTCTGACAATCTTTCGGTTCTTAGCAAGCCGACAGCTCAAGCATGCCGACCAATTAACAGCCAGGATAGGTTGGGTTTATAGGGGCTATAGGGGTATGTAGGGGTTATATAGGGAGAATGGAAAAGGAAATGGAAGCTACCAAGTCTGCATGGGTTTCGGCTCCTGAAGTAAGTTGTGATTGCGCTGCTGCAGTCAGATACCGTCCGCGCTGCGTCATCTGTACGGGTATTTCAGCTTGACACCTGGGCGCCGGAGATTGTATACGCATTACCGCATTACGCATGTTGGAGATGTTGCTTGGAAGGTCATGCGGACTTAGTAAGTAGGTTAATAACTCTTATAGTCCATAAAATATCCCCAATTGTCCCCCTTATTAAGCTACTTACTAAGTTCCCATGACCCTCCAAGTGGCGCGTTATCCAAGGCGTTCACTACCCTGATGGGCAACACGGTGTGTGACGACTTGTTAGGCCTGGACGCTGGCAGTCGCCATGCAGTGAGCCATAGTCTAGACTTCTAGTATCCGATTAATAACCCTTATAATAGTCCCCTATACACTCCCCTGTATCAGCCTCCTTTAAACTTTAAACCCTAAATTCTATATAAGCCCTCATATAACCCCCTATATCACACCCCTTTAAACCCTAAACCTTATATGAGCCCTTAAATACATCCTTATATACCCCCCTTTGAGGAGTTTAGACCTTAAACCCTATATAGCCCCCTGTATAGCTCCCGATATCACCGCCCCTTTAAGGAGTATTAGACTCAAGCCATAAAGTGACGCAATGCAGACGAAGAAATGTGAAGGCCAATGGTCTGCAGAAGCACACAGGGCAGAGGTTCCTCGTTTCCTGAAGATGCTGAAGGCTGGGTTTGTTAAGTTTAGGTGTAGGGTTTAGGGTTCAGGGTTCAGGGTTTAGAGTTTAGTTTTTAAGGTTTTGGGTTTAGGGGTTTAGAGGTTCCATGACATTCCCCAGAAAAGCAAAGAGCCCAACGCATTGCTCTAATAATGGAGAATCCAATGGAAAGCAAATGGAAAATTAGATGGAAGCTAGAGGTTGATTGCGATGTATAACCCTAAGGGTCCAAGGACCCAAATAATAGGGTCTATAGGGCCCAAATACTACAATATTAACGGTATTTGGGCCCTAAAGCCCTATTACTCGCGTCCTTGGACCCTCAAGGTAAGCATCCAAATAGCCCAATTTAGGTAATATCTACCGACTGTTATTAGGCCCAATGTAGGTATTGTTTGTATACTTGGATCCCACAGTTTTTTAGAGCCAGTAGACGACGGAAGCCTTCTCTCGCGATTAGTAAACTCTACAACTCACTTCATCTAGGGAGAGGCCAGAATACCAGACTGAACAAAATCTTGACCCCACTCCCAGAGCCTGAGCTCCAATTCTGCAAGAAGGACTCTTCCTCATACTAGATCTACTTCCAGAAAATATGTGCCTCCTGGCAGTGCAACTGCTGCTGTCATTTTTACCCGCAGATCAGAATTTCATACGGGCATGTCCATCATGACGCTTCATCAAACTTCATGGTTCGAAGGCACAATTTTTGTTCATGCTTATGAAGCGGTTCTTGCTACTCCTACTCATGATCACCCTTGGCGTTCCACTCGGCCTTTTCCTGCTGTATACAGTTATGAAACTAGTATGAATTGCTTCTCACTATCTGTCAAATTCATCCCTAATACAGTACATGTAAGAAATACGGCCTGGTCAAAATCCCAGGCGTTCTTAGACCCAGAGGAAGGTTGGTCACATGTTATATTTGGCTCGTTAAGGGGTGGTTCTCATAATTTTGAACCCCTCGCCCTACCCGGGCTGCCCGAATGTTCGTGTCCCAGATGAATGCCTTGAATGATGAGATGAACATACATGGGTAGCCAGTACATGCATCATGGTGCGGGTGGTGGGAGCTTTGGAAAGCTATCTGCATGACCATAGTCTACTATAGTGAAAAACATTTTCTTATATATATATATATGATGTGCCTAGGATCATGCAGGATTTTTAGAATCCCTGGACACAAACCCTAAACTGGGTAGGCCCCTAGCATATTTAGTATTTTCCCTAATGGCTTTAATAAGGGACCCTATATACTAGTATTTGTCAAAGGGTTTTAGGGGCCAACCCAGTAAATCAGATAAGTAGGAGGCCTTTGGATCTGCAGTTCACAGGACTGGCGCGACTCTGGAGGGGGCAAGCAGGCCAGGGACTTTTTGGATGCCAGAGTACCAAAGAAGAAACATGGCGTTCGATGTGGGAAAACAAAGGGATCCTTCCTTTGCTTAAGAGTTTAGGGGTCCAAATAGCCCAACGTAGGTAATTTCTACAGACTTTAGGGCCCAATGTAGGTATTGTTTTTTATGCTTGGATCCCTAGGGAGAGGTTAGGGTGGAGGGTGTAGCGGACTCAAGTTTCCAGGCTTGGAATGTCATTCTGCATGTGTCCTGCTACGGGTTGGTCTCCACGCTGCCCTGCAAAAGCAGAGTGCCACCAATCTGGCTCAGGTTTTATTGGTTGCGGGCGATGTGCATGAAGGTGGCCATTCTGCCGGGAACTTCCCTTGGAGCGCATGCTATGCTTGGCTTGCCTGTGCGCAGGAATTCCTAGCTAATGCTGCTCCGCTTCACAAGCCTCAAGACATATTCTGATTCGTTTCTGTTGAGTAGCTCAAGCTCGAACATGTTTAACCTTCGTCAACTTGGCACTACGTTGGTAAGTGACGATTCTAGAGTCAAAGCATCTCAGAAACGTTTGGGTGTTGACGTCCCGCTGGAGTAGCCAAAATCCTGCTGCCGTGCAGGTGGTTGGACAGACTTGCTCCTTCACGACGTTGAAGGAGGCTGGGCAGATAGAAGTTGCGATGCTGGCATACTGGAAGGGCCAGTGCTTCCAGTCTAAGATGCGCACAACATACTATATTATAGTTTCCATTTTCTTTTCCATTCTCCCCTATATAACCCCAACATACTATATTACAGTTTCCATTTTCTTTTCCATTATCACCCCTCGGCTTCTAAGGTGAAGAGCGCATTCGCCAGCTGACAACTTCTGCCATTGCCAACAAGGAGACGCAAGCTCATGAGGCGCTGGCGGCATCTTGGATGCAGGGTTTAGGGTTTAGGGTAAACCAAGTAATTAGAGACATGGGCTAGGAAAGTGTGACTGGAGTAGGCTCAACTCTTGACCCAAAATGGCAGTTTCCATGTTCTTTTCCATTATTCCCTATATAACCCCAATAATCTACTTAAGGGGACTAACCTTTCTCCTTAGAAGACTTAGAGCTGCTAAGACTTTGACATTGTCAAAACCCTAAACCCTAAACCCTTAAAACCGGGCAGGGAGGGCATGTGGCTTGACAAGGTCTCAATGACCCGTGGCATGCTATCCTCCTTAGACTTCTCCGCCGCCGCCTCAGTTGCTCTAATGGGGTTCTACTTAGGGGTTATATAGGGGTTATATGGGGATAATGGAAAAGAAGATTGAAACTACTATATTTGGGTTCTATAGGGGATGTATAGGGGTTACATGGGGATAAGGGAAAAGAGCATGGAATGCGTGGCCTGAGTTGTCAGGGGCTTCTGTGGGTCTTGCGCCTCATTTCACCTAAGTTCTTCGCTGATGTCTACCCCTAAACGTCCAAGTACCCAAATATTGGGGTTTCAGTTTCAGGTACCCTAAATACCCCCAAACGTCCAAGTACCCAGATATTGGGGTTTCAGTTTCAGGTACCCTAAAGCCTTATTGTTTTGGAACTTGAGCCCCTTCGCCAGGAGACTGGATCTGGCTGGGCAAGTCGCCACTACGACTGGACCAATCGAAACAACTACGCTCTGGTAAACGTCGGCATAGCCATGTCGGGCGTGCTGAAGGCTTTACCATGACATCTACATCACCTTACTGGTTCTTAGTAGTTCGGTCATAAGGGAATATCGCATACAGGGGTTGTGTAGGGGTTATGTCCCCGTATTCCTTACAGTAATTAATTAGAAGCAGTAAGTCACACTCTTGTTATCATGGGCTTCAGCTGCGGCTGTTCTGCAGTTGCCCGATTGAATTCAGTGGGCCGCCTTCCTCCAGGTCAAAGTTGTCAAAGCGGAAGGCTTGAAGAACCAGGACAGATTGGGGTGGTTTCCTAAAATTAGGGAGGGTTCCCCATGTTAAAGATTATAGTTTTCTGGAGTCTATATTGGGGTAGACTGGGGGTTGTGGTACGGCAATAATGGAGAATCAAATGGAAGAGACAATGGAAAATTAAATGGACACTGGGATTACTGAGTGGTTTACAGGGATAAGAGAGCGGGCTCGCTTAACCGTCAACTCTGTGGATCTTGATCGGCTGTAGATGCCACACACTGCCCGAACAGGCTCGTGCTGCGCACGTGGGAAGGCTCCTAGGTTCCTCCTGCACCCCAAAAGTAGGTGAAATAATAACCCAAAACCCATCAAAATAGCACAAAAGGCAATATGTTTACATACTTCTGGGGTTCAGGCTGCCCTAAAGCGTCGTCGCGTCAGCAAGAGGCATGTCAAAGTGGCTTCTACGAGGTGTG